TCCACTTGTAATGTTGTCAAACGGGAACCTCGGCCTCGCACATCTGGTAGTGAAGTACTGATTACAGCTGCAGGTCCTCCAAATTCACGAAGTCCAACAAGTCCTTGTATGAGCCATCAGTGTAAATCACGGTACTTTTCTAATCGTAATCGCTTAGCTTGGCATCATTCAATGGACATTTGTTGTTCAAAAGAAGAAAAGTCAAAAATGAGAGTGAACGGTGACTGCTTATTGCATAAGCTCTTAAATCTGCTAACCGTACATAGCTCACGCAGCTGTCTACAGTTGCTGGGCTCGTTCCGGGTCAGAAATTTAAAGTTTACTGCGGCGTGGGGCTACATCGTCGTTCTGCTGTCGTGTACATTTAAGAATGTGGTGTGGAAAGAGTTCTGACTTTTCCTGGAGTAAAGATATATGTCGGCCGTCTTTGTCACGGAGAAGTCTTTAAAGCTTTAAAGCTCTGAGCTTGACCTATTAAAAGACAAAAGATACATTTGCACGTCACGAGTAATGTGACCTACTGAAAAAAAATCGGGCAATTTGAAAATTTAGTCAAGTTCACACATGCACAATCAACCCCTCATTGGTGTGATCCTCTGATCCGGGAAATCGAGATGTCCTCTCACAAACAACAGTTATTAGTAACAAGCATAACACGATTTTCCAATCTATTAACGAAGTTTGAGCATTTAGGGTCAAAGCAGAGACTTGGGTCGATGTGAATCGGCTTAAAAATAACAAATTTGGGGTATCTTTATTTTACATCTTGGTCGAGACCTGTCACCAGCAATATGATTTCATGTTGCCTTATTCAGGCGGGCGAAACTCACGTTACATGCGATCTGATCATCTGACTCTCACGATCGAGATCGGTAGCTTTAACTCACCAGCTCCAACACGGTTTTTTAGACTTTTTTCGGTTTTTCGAGCTGCCCTTCTCCCCTGAGGCCACGATGAAAAACATACAATATATTATATCTTTATTCTTTATATGTTACATGCATTCCCCTGCAGTAGTGAAAAGTAAATTGTTTGTTTTATTTCAGTGTCGACAGCTCAAACTATGGTGGTATCTTATCGCTACAATGCTGCTAACTAGACTCTTGGATGAAGTTAAGTTGTTTTAGTCAGATGATCTACTTTTTGGCGTTTCCTACTGCCCTAGTTATAGTAGTTCAAGGTTTAACTGTAAATATAGTGTTAAGTAAGTTTCAATACTTCCCTGCCACCTTTTCAGACATTGCAGAGATGTGTGACCGCACAATTCTCAAACCGAAGAATCAAAAGGAGTTATTGATTTATCGGTATATAAAGTAGGTATGCTTTATCAAACAAAGCCACTAGGTAAGCAAATTCAAATATTTTGACAGTTCATACTGCGGTTATACATTGCAGCCAATGCGCAGCAAACAAGAGCTTGCCACTGCTATAAGCATTCGTATTCGTAGCTTGTTTGAATCTCAAATTTATTCGAATTATCATAAGTAGCCGGAAGCCCGTCCTGCGGACGGAGTTCTTCAGCACAAAATCGATTCTCAAACATTTTAAATCTACCCTTTCTCATTTCTACTTCTTTTCCTTTCACAATTTTCATGTTTTTAAAAAACTTCTTACCCCTATCCATGTCACCTATGATTCATGCATTTCTAGCTTCTCGGACAGTGCTGTCTTTTCCCTCATTGGCAAATCCTGAAAGTTTTATGAAAAATATAGATCAGAGTTATGTTTGTTCTGCACGTCTGCATTTCAGGTATTCGTGACACAGTTTACGTGTGATGACGTGGGCATCTCTCAACACACTTTGCAGCATGAGCGACGGTGCCGTGGCGGGATATCTGGAAATGTAGCCTTGAGCTCAGTTTATTTTTCTCCGTCACCTCACCCGGGGGAGGGGGGGGGAGCCAATGACTTTGGGTACTTTGGGGACAAGTGCAGAATTTCGCCAGCAATTTAACCTCAAGTCTCCAAGATTTTTAGCCCCCATTGGTACCCAAAAGTCTCCTTTAGAAGTCATTTAATAAAAGATAATATCAAAACTACATAAAACTCGCCAAAACTTTGGGTACTTATGGGGACAAATGGAAAATTTCACCAGCGATTTGACCTTCAGTCCCTATGATTTTCGTCCCCATTGGTGCTCAAAAGTCTCCATCAGTAGTCATTGCCCCCCCCCCCCCCTCATCCTGTGTCGGCTGTATTCAATTCTGATTGTACCACGGTTAAAAAATGCCAGTTAAATGTACCAACTCTCGTTTTATTTATTGTACCGACTCTCGCTCTTCGACCACGCTTTTCGTCTACTTGGCGTAGGGCGCGGTAATATTTCATGTAATCACGCACACACGTATCGCGCGCGATGTAGAAATAAGTGCAGCGCACATGGTCTTGTGGGTGACCCCCGTAATCCATGTGGTGGGGCAGGAGGGTCAAGCACTGTTTTTGTGGGTGACCCCCGTAATCCATGTGGTGGGGCAGGAGGGTCAAGCACTGTTTTTTCTGAAATGAACCTCCTGATCCATGTGGTGGGGCAGGAGGGTCAAGCACTGTTTCTGAAATGAACCTCCTGATCCATGCGGTGGGGCAGGAGGGTCAAGCACTGTTTCTGAAATGAACCTCCTGATCCATGCGGTGGGGCAGGAGGGTCAAGCAATGTTCTTTTCAGGTTGACCCTCCTGCGCTTACTGGGGGCGGCTACAAGTCCTGAACTACTATTTGAAACCCTAACCGTCTAATCTGATCCCAATCCTAACTCTAACCAAATCCTTAACAAAAGCATATGCTAAAACCCTACCCCTGACGAGAAATAATTAAACTAACTTCCTTATACGGTCATACCACGTGCAACGTGATGATCGGGGCCTATCTCCGAAGGCGAAAGTTGAAAGTAAAAAAGATAGACTTCCAGTTTCTTGCAACATGTTCATACATTTTACATGTTATATGGCGAAATCTCCATCCAAAAGGATTAGTCTGCGTCGACTGCGTCATTATATATTTTGTATTAATATTATACAACTTCGGCGGGTAATATTTCTCCATCCGGATCCCTAATTGGCCTTTCGATCTGCAGATAATCTTCTCATACAATCAATCGTGAGTCCATTCCGATCCAATCTCTGCAACAGCACCATTTTCGCCTCGTAAAAATAACTTTTCCTTCCGGGATAACTCGAGACAATGTAGATTTTAAGTTATTGCGAAAAGTTTCAATCTGGGCCAAATAAAAGTTTGCAACTTTAAATTTGCAAATTCTTGACCCCCCCCCCCTCTCCCTCCCCCCCTACAAAGCCCACACTCTAGCTTAAATACACTTTCCAACTTTGAAACTGAGTTACAGAACCATTTCTGGGGCCTGGGCACAGTTTCAAAATTCTAACAAGGCCAAATTATGGTGCCAAGAATAATACGCGCATTCTGATTCAGCACACGTGTTGTCTTTTAACTTTTTCCGTAATATAGTTCTACTTTCAAGTGGTTTGCTTGTAGCGCGATGCACTACTGGGTCGCGCCGCGCATCAAATAATTCTTATCGTATGCAGATCGGCGAGATGCGAAGGATTGACATCGTGAATCAAGTGGTTTGCGAGCAATAGAATATGAAGCGAACAGATGTCCCTTTCAGTTTCATATGACGTTACTTCACAGATCATCAGCCACAGTTTTTGTTGCTCACAGTGAAACTTGATCTTGGACCTTTGTACTTGTAATACGGAGTACGGCCTGTTCATTGTTCAGTCACTCAACTTCGGTGCAATTTGAACAGTATTAATATGATTCAATGTGAGGCAGTCCTTCACATGAACGCTTAATTTAATTTTTTCATCGACGTCGTTTTTGTACATTGTTAATGAGTTAATAAACTGACCCGGCGCGCTACATCGCATAAGATATCATATTTCGAAGAAATTTAGACGCGTATCATCTGTCAACATCGTTCACTTAATATTATGTATTATTAATTCGTTTTCGCTTTTAATTTTGTAGTACGATGGTAAAAATGTTTTACCGTCAGAAAATGTGTTGCTACATTTTACATAACTAATCCCACCTGGCTCAAACCCTTAAATTTTATAAATTTGAACTTCACTGGTCCTATGGTCATTACATGGTCATTACATGGTCTAAGCTCCAAAACTTAATCCTTATATTAAGTTGGTAACGATTATATCATAATATAGAAAAAACGAAAATTCGAGGATGAAAGCTTCTCAGTCACATTTGTACTATTGTACGATTTAAATAAAATGGTGTTTTTATAAAACGTTGTTTTATCATAAGCACCTGTTAATCGGAAATCGGGGTTTAGTCTAGTTTGCTGTAAATTGTGGCGCGGTAAATCGGGGTTTAGTTTGCTGTAAATTGTGGCGCGGTAAATCGGGGTTTAGTTTGCTGTAAATTGTGGCGCGGTAAATCGGGGTTTAGTTTGCTGTAAATTGTGGCGCGGTAAATCGGGGTTTAGTTTGCTGTAAATTGTAGCGCGGTAAATCGGGGTTTAGACTTTAGTTTGCTGTAAATTGTGGCGCGGTAAATCGGGGTTTTATTGTACTTGTTAATATAGTGCTGACAGTTTTTGTACATCAACATGAATATACAGCTACAGGGTGTATCTTCATGTACTTAACACTATAAGTTGTAAAATGATAGGATGAAATGTGACACATCTTGGAGTTCAGTGTTAAATTAACATATCCTGCCAATTTGTACTTTTAGTACTATTTGTAAGTTGTTGGCGCTGTTTAGATTTGTTCACCGTTTCTCAGCACTTCTACTTCTAGTCCCTACCTGTAGTATGTACCATGTTCACTTATATTAGTGTCATTAGTAGTAGTAGTAGTAGTAGTATAATTACTATAGTAGCTGTGCCTGTAGTAATGTCATTATTTTCAGTGGTTCGGATACTCTTTACAGTATACTGCTTTGTGATATTAACTTGATTACTCTAATAACTTAATTAATTAATTACTCAAGTATTCGAATATTATAAGTAAAGAGAGTGTGGATCTGAATTAGACTTTTGGAATGGTTACTATGGTAACTACTAGCAATGATCCACTAGATCCTAACGTAAGTAACTAAGCTACAGTCTTACATTTGAGATTATCTGAGAAATATTTCTGATCGTTTTTGTCAAGTATCAGCCTTGATTCACGATGTCAATCCTTCACAGCTCGGCGAGGCCCAGTGGTGCATCTCGCCGATCTAGCGGCCCAGTAGTGCATCGCGCTACAAGTATCAGCCCAATTTAAATCCACTCCTTTCTGAAAATGTTCATCAATATTAATATTTCAGAACTGTGCGGGCTACTACGAAGGAGTACCAACCTTAAGTTTACTTCTCCAGTGTAAGAAAGAATTGTCGATTACTTGAGGAAGATGAGGCTTAGCTTTACTTTTTTATAAAACTCCGACCGAAGATTCGGTGAAGAAAGTAACTGGTGTCATATCAATCAATAAATTGAAAATTGTTTGATCAGTAATTTAATGAACGAAGTGTTATAATCTTATCGATATTAGGCTTAGTTTAGACTAAAACATGCATTCTTCCACATAATAAATATCAATATTTCAGATCCACCGCCCGAATACTTCCCCCTGCTAATTATTGGTGCGCTAATTATTGTTGGGAATGCGGTTGTGAGCGTCATAGCTTGGAGACGCCAGCTTAAGTTCCTGGAGGGTGCTACTTACATGCCTGCTTTCAGATCAATGATGATAGTCGCTTCTTTCGGGGTAAGCCGTAAGAGAATGATAGGAATAACGGTTTAAATGACTGGTAAACGTATTTGTCGGATTGTCGGAATGACGCCACTTTGAATAACAAGTTTCATTTAGTTTGAAAATCCACAAAATTGCTTACCTATGTCATTTCATCAAGATTTTTCGTCCACTTATTTCCAAATTTCATTTCATCGCCTGGCCAGTGGCCTTTATAGTCATACTTTACATTAAACATTCAGATTAATATAAAATAATCCTCCTCTGCACTCTGTAGGTATTTGGAGTAACAAGTTTCGCTGGTTTGTTCTCAATGAGGAGCTCAGAATATCTGCACTCAATTGCCAATACGTCAGTTAGCGAGTCAATCATTTAAAGTTTAAATTAATATAATATACAGAAGGAATTGATTAAATGTAGTCCGAGGAATCCTAATCCTCCTCGCGTCTTTTCTCATATCTGACATTTAATGAACTTGTTTAATGTTAATGCTATGATCTGTTCAAACTGGATATACCGCAGATTCGAAGTTTTCTGCATTTTGTTTTTCTACGAGAACATGTGCGGGTTGTTACGACTGAACGACTTTATAGACGGGACGGATAAATTCATCCTAGCAGTTGCACCCTGCTGCTGTTGTCTACGTTTCCTTAAACCTGCTCCGGCAACTGAGTACGAACCGTTTATAAAATAGCAGCACTTGTGCTTTTACTAGTAGTTATAATATTAATCAATTATATGCCATAGCTACGCATCAAAAAACTTTGGTGCATATGAATCTTCATTTTTCAGGTTGACCGTGTTTCGGCTACGTATTGGAATTGTTGTGACGATTATCTTTCAAACCATCCTTCAGTTTCTTCGAACTGTAAGGATCTTTGAGTGTCAATACAAGCCCGATAGTATAGCAGGGATGGTCACTAATATGCTCTCAATCGTCTCGTTTCTTTTCGCCATGTGGGGTCTTATTGTTGTATACAAATCTGGTAAATACCTTATTGGTCATTTTGAACGAAAACCCAAAATTGGGTAAAGTGGACCGTTGCCAGTGTTTCCCTTTCCCAAACAAAAGGGTATAATAGTAAAGGATGTATAGAAGTCAACGGCGTGCTTGCCAGCACTGTGATAATTCGCAAGTTTTGCTTGCAATATCGTTGATAACAACTTGATAACGGAAAGTATTGTATTTCAGGATACCCAGTGTTGAGCAAGTACAAGACAACTGGAAAGTTCCTTGCCTTTAAAGGCATGATATTTATCTCTAAGTTTCTCTACACTATTCTGAGCACTATCGCGTCCTATTCTGAAAACGCTATCCCTTCGTATTACGCAGAGGTTGATGGTAAAAAGTCGCTGATTTTGAAAAATAAAATTCGAATTACAAGTGAGTTTAAGTTAGTTTACCACCCAGAAAAGTTAATCCTAAATTTGAATAGTTCGTAATTTCAAATGCATTCTTTGTAGCTGTCCAAAAATGCTGCAATTTATTTTAATATATTTTCAACTCCTCCTGCAGTTTGGACAAATTTTGTGGCAATATTCTTCTCGACCCTGCTGCTAGTTCTAAGCTATAGACTGTACGATTCTCCCGATTACGAACCGTATTTGAAAGAAGTAGACTTTTCGCCTGAAGCCAACACATCAGAAGCTATTGTTAAGATAATTTGCAAAGAATCAACTGATCCAATTCGCGAAGAAAAAATATAAAGCAACATTTATTATTTACGGCGTGCTTACTGCTTACTTGCATTTATTGTTATATACATGAGACATTTTTAATCGTTAATTTTTAAAAATGTGGTTATTTGACAGAATATTTACCATTTGTAATGAATTAAGATTTCATGATTAAGGGGGGGGGGGGGCCGGGGGGGGGGGGGGATTGGATATTTTTTTTGTGAAACTTGATTTCGAGATAGCAGTTGGCTAACAAACTAGGACCAGTGACTGAACTTTTGAGGGGGTCCCGGACCCCAACCGCCAAACGGTACCCGCGGGGCAGCCACGCCCATATTTGGTCCAAATTAGGCCCTATTTAGCCAAATACCCTGAACATGACCAAAACCCAGGTTTATGGTGCTCTACTTGTAGCTAGTGGTCTCTTGAACTCGTATATGAAATTTCATCAAGATTGGACAAAAGATGACTGAGTTATGAGCAAAAAACCATTTGCCCATATTTGGGCATACGCACCAAATTTGGTAGATTTCATCCCATAAATTGGGCAAATATCAATATTTTTGAATGAAACTTACTTTATATGAAAGGTAAGCCTAAACTACAGATTCTCCGTAAGTTATAGCTTTATATCTGTTTAAATGTGGATACTGTACTAAGGCGACAAAACCACAAAAAATGAACTAAATTGCCCATATCTCGGTTCGCGATATTCGCGGAATTTATTTTATTAAAATTTTAACAACTCAATCAATTTTCAAAATTTTTGCATGAAATTTTCGGAATCAACTCGAAATCGCAAAAAAAAATTTGGCAGCCAAATTCTCAATTTTTGTAATAAAATTTTGGAATCAAAAATTCGTTCTCAAAATAAGGTCGAAATGCAATTTCGAGTCGATTCCGAAAATTTCATACAAAAATTTTGAAAACTGATTGAGTTGTTACAATTTTAATGAAATCAATTCCGCGAATATCGCGAACCGAGATATTCGCGGAATTCGTGGTTTTGTCGCCTTAGTATCCACATTTAAACAGATATAAAGCTATAACTTACACAGAGAATACGTAGTTTAGGCTTACCTTTCATATAAAGTAAGTTTCATTCAAAAATATTGATATTTGCCCAATTTATGGGACGAAATCTACCAAATTTGGTGCGTATGACCAAATATGGGCAAATGGTTTTTTGCTCATAACTCAGTCATTTTTTGTCCAACCTTGATGAAATTTCATATACGAGTTCAGGAGACCACTAGCTACAAGTAAAGTACATAAAATATGGGTATGGGGCATGTTCAGGGTATTTGGCTAAATTGGGCCTAATTTGGACCAAATATGGGCGTGGCTGCCCCGCGGGCACCGTTTGACGGTTGGGGTCCGGGATCCCCTCAAAAGTTCGGTCACTGGTCCTAGTTTGTTGGTCAACTGCTATCTCGAAACCAAGTTTCACAAAAAAATACCCATTGGCCCCCCCCCCCCCCCCCCCCTAAAGGGGTGCGAACCTCCCACTAACCATCTTTAATTCTTTGATAACTTGACTGTAACTATGACAAGAACAAATTCTAAAAGTCTCGAACTCCTATTTTGTTCCTATCATAAGTTAGAGCCATAATTAGATATTGCGCTGTGACGTCATATATAGGCACTCATCTCTCCACGCTCCTCAATGAGTGGTATGCAAATATGTTTGTGTGTACAGTTTCCAGCTGTTTGTTTTAGGGTTTACTTAAATTGCACTGTGTCAGACATGTTGAATAGTGTCTTAATTTGATAATGTAACACTTTTTTTCGTAACCCATCACAGCACATGATTATATAGTAGGTCATAATATGCTGTATAATGTATTTATATATATGTTCATTTGAGTTTGAGGATATTGGTAAATATAAGTGACCCTATTAAAAGGCACAGTGTAATTGACTTTGTCACACTATGAAATTACACAAACCCTTGATGGTTAGGATAATCGTCTCATCCTCTAGGCTAACTTTGTCACATCTTACTATATATAAAGCGAGACGATATATATCCGTGCCATTTTACTGACACCACGGCATCAACTTTAACGCGACTTTCCGCAAAAACAGTAAAAGATATACAACTGAAATTTTTTTGGCTGGGTCAAATGCTTTAATGGCCTCCAAATCAGCATGAAAAAATAAAAAATTGGCCAAGGAATAATGATTTTAGAGCCGAAAATTTGGACCCCCAAGTGGTGTCAAAAACGCCAATTAAATAGGTAATAATTATTTTAGTATCTTGGGTCTTGACACCGTTTAGGGTTATATTATACGGGTTCCTGGCTCCTGCTAGTAACGATAATGAGTTAAAAGGGTTTTGAGGACACGTTACTCACAAAAACTCACCACTTTAAACACGTTACTCACAAACTCGCCACTTTATACACGTTACACAAGGTCTATGTCACAACGACTAAGAGTACACTTCATTACACTCCTTTGTTATAACACAAAGATATTTTCAAGGTTCATTTGCAATTTGCATTCTGCACTCACTTTGTTGTCCTAGCTTTAGTAGACGTCTAACTGTGGAGATTCTGGGAGACTAATGTTCTAGTTAATAATAATGTTAATTTGCATGATTCTCCAGAGGTTCTAGATCTTTGTGCTGTTTCCCCGCACTAGCAGTTAGCACTTGTAGTTTGTGCTGTTTCCCCGCACTAGCAGTTAGCACTTGTAGTTTGTGCTGTTTCCCCGCACTAGCAGTTAGCACTTGTAGTTTGTTCTGTTTCCCCGCACTTGTAGTTAGCACTTGTAGTTTGTTCTGTTTCCCCGCACTAGCAGTTAGCACTTGTAGTTTGTGCTGTTTCCCCGCACTAGCAGTTAGCACTTGTAGTTTGTGCTGTTTCCCCGCACTAGCAGTTAGCACTTGTAGTTTGTTCTGTTTCCCCGCACTAGCAGTTAGCACTTGTAGTTTGTGCTGTTTCCCCGCACTAGCAGTTAGCACTTGTAGTTTGTTCTGTTTCCCCGCACTTGTAGTTTGTGCTGTTTCCCCGCACTAGCACTTGTAGTTTGTGCTGTTTCCCCGCACTTGTAGTTTGTTCTGTTTCCCCGCACTTGTAGTTTGTGCTGTTTCCCCGCACTAGCACTTGTAGTTTGTGCTGTTTCCCCGCACTAGCACTTGTAGTTTGTTCTGTTTCCCCGCACTAGCAGTTAGCACTTGTAGTTTGTGCTGTTTCCCCGCACTAGCAGTTAGCACTTGTAGTTTGTGCTGTTTCCCCGCACTAGCACTTGTAGTTTGTTCTGTTTCCCCGCACTAGCAGTTAGCACTTGTAGTTTGTGCTGTTTCCCCGCACTAGCACTTGTAGTTTGTTCTGTTTCCCCGCACTAGCAGTTAGCACTTGTAGTTTGTGCTGTTTCCCCGCACTAGCAGTTAGCACTTGTAGTTTGTGCTGTTTCCCCGCACTAGCAGTTAGCACTTGTAGTTTGTTCTGTTTCCCCGCACTAGCAGTTAGCACTTGTAGTTTGTTCTGTTTCCCCGCACTAGCAGTTAGCACTTGTAGTTTGTGCTGTTTCCCCGCACTAGCAGTTAGCACTTGTAGTTTGTTCTGTTTCCCCGCACTAGCAGTTAGCACTTGTAGTTTGTTCTGTTTCCCCGCACTAGCAGTTAGCACTTGTAGTTTGTTCTGTTTCCCCGCACTAGCAGTTAGCACTTGTAGTTTGTGCTGTTTCCCCGCACTAGCAGTTAGCACTTGTAGTTTGTGCTGTTTCCCCGCACTAGCAGTTAGCACTTGTAGTTTGTTCTGTTTCCCCGCACTAGCAGTTAGCACTTGTAGTTTGTGCTGTTTCCCCGCACTAGCAGTTAGCACTTGTAGTTTGTTCTGTTTCCCCGCACTTGTAGTTTGTGCTGTTTCCCCGCACTAGCACTTGTAGTTTGTGCTGTTTCCCCGCACTAGCACTTGTAGTTTGTGCTGTTTCCCCGCACTAGCAGTTAGCACTTGTAGTTTGTGCTGTTTCCCCGCACTAGCAGTTAGCACTTGTAGTTTGTGCTGTTTC